TTATTTTACTAAGTGATACGTTTAGTTGCAGCGCGAATCAGTATTCATATATATATTTTAACACCTTATCTTAATTTTTGTTTGTGAATAATCACGCTACGTTTGCATTTGTACTTACATTAGGATTAGAAGTAACAACCATATTATTTATTGAATTAGACACTGAACCTACAGTTTAACTACCACTCTGCCTCATTCAGTCAGGTATCATACTAAACAACCATTCACGAGGTAAAATTCATAGTCTTGAACATAAACTTGTTACTGTTCCCTAAAGTGTTTTGATATTCAGTTGGTCGTTGTATTTGTTACTGATAACTTTTAATCCTAGTCGAACAAGTAGCTTACTGAATCTAATTTACATTCATCATTCCTGTGCCGGAAGTTGGTGCTGGCTAGAAATAGGTTATGATCCGCGCAAAGCTGCAGAAGACGATCCCCATTATCTGACCTGCGACCATGTAGTCCCCATTAACCACCTAGACGATTCTCCTCTGAGCTTAGACGCCCCACCTGTGCATTCAAGTCCTCAGCTAGCACTACAACATCCATTCTACCCGCCTGTTTCAAGAGATCGCTCAGTTGGTAGTAAAACTCATCCTTCATTGCATCCGGGCTGCAATCCGTCGGTGCATAGGCAGAGACAACAAACAGACACCGCCTATCTGGTCTACTACTCCTTACTTTAGAATAACCTTCCAGCCTCACAGCACATAAACGACTGCTAACGGGAATCCAGTCGGGCAATGCAGCTTCGGCTCTAGCGCTCAGTGCGACACCGACACCAGCTACGCCGGATGCCGACGCCACATTGTCCCTGGATAAGCGTGGGTGGTCCATACTGCTGGAACTTCTAGATGGAGAGGATAGTCGAGGCACTTCACTGTGATCTTGAATGCGGGTCTCCGAAATGCAACAGACATCGATAGCGAGGCTTTCCAAAGTTCTTACTAGCCCTGCCTGTTGTTCGATTTGATTCAGCGTCCGAGCATTGTAGGTGGCCAGCTTGAACGCGGCTGGATATCTGTGTTACATGTCACATTGGGGACAACCGTTATGAGGATTACTCACTAACATCTCAAAACGGCACAGATAGGCTGGGTATCTAGACAAAGGCGAGAGGCTGTCAAAGGTTAAGAAGTCAAGTTTAGCAAATGTAAAATACAGGAAACTATGTATAAAAAAAGTTAGGTAGGAAGACACAAGTTACGGGAGGCATCGATATTACTTAAAATCATTGTGTAATAGCACGCGATAATTTTCATTGATTGTTTGTTGCTTCATTCAGTTCATTGTGTGAGGGCTGAGATAGTGCCCGGGCGCCCAGACCGAAGCAGCTGGTTTCATTAAGGGACCGCCGCCCGAGCCTTTGACTCGCAGTCTAATCCGCAAGGCAACGGAGCAGTGTCAGGAGCTGCATTCCCATGGTTGCCGGTGACCCATATGGGTTTATACGCCAATTGATCCGATTGGTTACTGGAGCTCATGTACCCCATGGTAACTGCTTTTAGTTTAACCGCTATCCAAACAACCTTCCTGACATGGTAGAACCTGCAGGGACATGAGTCCCAGTCAGTTTAGCATGTTGGGTCATTACGGTATTCAAGCCCGACCACCACGACAAGGAAGCAGTTATTGGCCGAGAAGCATGAAGTTGAACTATCATTTCTGAATGTTGATGTAACTGTTGTGTAATAATTTCAGTGAAATCATTACTTCCACTCAGAAAGAAATGAAGAGAACATTTTAGGAATGATATTTTTTAAGAAACACCTACTTTGCGGACTATTCTGGGAGATGATCAAAGGAAGTCAAGTAGATTCTTGATATGAAGTAAATGAATCATGTTGAGACAATGAAAGTATGCGTTAAACAAAAAAAAATATAATGCGTATCTACTGCTGTACTGAGACGTGATGAGTAAGTAGATTGTAGTGGGCTCAGTGTTAATCATACAGATGGTGAGCCACACCTCTCACTATTGTGGTGAATGCTGGCTGCTAGCCAAAATTTGTAGATAGTAATTTACGTCAATATTTATGTCCGCTGTATTGGTCATGGGAAATATATGAAGAAAGATTGACTCAACAACCAATCACAGCAGACTTTGCGTAGGAGGACAGAATTTTTAGATAGATGGTCTGAACTTCAAGAAACGGCCACAAAGAGATAGAAGATTAAATTTCAGTGAGAAACCATCAATCAGAAGACTGTATATATCTGCCGACAACAATCTATAATAATGTACATGAAAATCTATAAATTTGTGTTGATTTCCTAAATAAAGGCTCTGTTGTCTGGCCCTTGTCTTCTGCTGTTACACTATTATTATTATTATCATCATAATAAGCAAGGATAATGTTGATTGAAAATTTGTTATATTTTAATCCTGTTGAGGTTCTGAAGTACACTGACACACGTTTCATACACATTCGAAAAATGACCATATCGAACACTGGAATATTGTTTACACGAGAATCGGTTTATTTAAAATAATATTTTGAAGCAGAAATATACGGCGCTCTTGGTTTGTGTATTTTTACGCGTTTGTATGCTTGTGTGATTTGTGACCCAATATGTTTGATATTCCTATATGTGTTTTCATCAATGTATTTCTTCTTGAAGAGTTGCCGTCGATGATGCACAATTTTGCTTTCTGTCGATAACGTTTGAACTTTGCATGATTATCTAATTTGAATTTAGACTCATCAGAAGGAATTCGATACATTTTTTCGAGATAATCTATTTTATTCGTTAGCACTACGCTTTGTCATTTATTAGCTTGTAAAATAACAAGATTATTGTATTTTCGGGACTTGTTTAGAGATCTCCAGTGTTCTTTGGTGATATGCGAGTTTTGATTGGTCGGCATGATTCGAAATTGATGATCAATATCAACCATCTTTTATTTCAATCAGCTTTTACCGTCATTTGACGTAGCATGTATCGATGATACAGATTTTCGAGTTGGCATTCGATATCACTTTGCTTTATCTTTTTCATGGGAACACAGAAATCGAATCCCAATGACAGAATTTCTGCTTGTTCTTTTGATTGGGAAACATCAGATAAATTAGGAACATAATTAGATATATCCACCGAGAAAATTTCACTTGGCGGTTCCAGGTGAAGTGACCTCTTCAGTTTCTTTTCTTCTGATTCTTTTGTCGTTTTAAAAGTGACAAACAGATATTTAGTGAATTAAAGATAACATATGAAGTTGAAGTCATTTTGTACACCGATCCGTTAACTCGATGATATGCATAAATTCATCTGTTTCAGAACACAAATGTGATCCAGGATGAAGTTATATGCGTCGGAAAACACGTACAGTAAATCAAGAGGGTTGTTCAGTATTCAATCCAAAATTTCAAATGACCTTGCACTTCCAATATTCCACATTTAAACATTCCGATTTGTTCTTCTGAACTTAAGCATATCTACTACTATATTATCATTATTGCAATTAATCCGGAGTGAAGCATGAGACAGTACATCCTCCATTCTCCGCAGGTGACTTTGAAATTACAACCAATCCTTCATTTCCTCCTCAAACACTCCACTCCATTTCACTATCAAAAGCCCCTCAATACCTTCTTCTGGACCAAACCCCGTAAAGTTCAGGGGGAAAGACTTAGTATCAAAGCATTACATTAACAGCATAACGCGAAACACGCATCATGTGTGTGCACCACCAGTAGCTAGATTGACTGGCTATGTAAGATTGGGCATCAAAGGGTCTAAAGTGAATCTTCTACCATAACCAAGTGACTAAGATTGTCTGTTCTGGATTGCACAGGTTTTATCCATCACATATATAAGCCTGTAACGTGAAGTTATTTTTGGATTTGGTGAAATTAGAGGTAAACAACGATGCTAGTCAGAACTTACATATTGTGATAAAAAAAAACCTTGTACTGCGATGGTACTGAGGCGGTAGGGGCTGAACGAACAATTTCATAGGGACTACTTGAGAAAGATGTACATTTATCATAACACTGGTTATTCGAATGAATCACAAGGAATCACCAGTGTTACAGTGATTAACAGTAATTTTCTGAAATGTCTAATACTTCAGAGATCTTGCAGTTAACGTACAACATACCATAATGACTATATATAAGGCAGATTTTCAATCGCGTGCTCATTTGTTACAACAAGCTCTGTCCACGTGGTGACCACCGAAACCACAACAAAGTCGTCTGAATGCAGGAAACGGACAATACCGTCCTCCTTTATAGCTGAACAAAGCTTCCTTGGGATACGCACAGCCACACAACACAGAAACTAAGCTTTATGGTGAGGATCAAAACAATATTTGATATGCAAATATCAGAAGAATAAAATAGAGTGCATCACTTTTAGGACACCTATTAAGGAGGCGAACGGATGATGTTTACACAGTTGGTTGAAATATCCAAATGAGTATGCATATTCTAATTAGATGGTTCAACAGGATATCTTCTGAAGAATTATTCCAGAACGCATAATGTTTTGCCTACTAGTATAAGTCTACTGACATCAACAATTAAAACTGAATATTATAATCACTCGTATGACTGATTACCTTTACAAACTCCATGTGAGTATGAATTTTATTGACACTAAGATTGAAATTACAAAAGTTTGTTTCCATGGTCTCAGCTTTAAATTAGTAATCATGAAAAAGTGTTGTACAGTAACGGAACAGAAATTCTGTGGGATCATCAGAAGTTTGATGGATTGGACTGGTGCTGTTAGCAGTGCAGATGAACAATATCCGCTTTCTCAATTATTATCTCTTGTGAAAACATTTGCTTAAAGATAGATGTGATAGTATACCTAAAGAAAACAGAACAGCCTATGAGAATCGTGTGATTTCCTAAGCATATTAAGTTGCACTTTGTGCTTTTGAACACACAACAGAATATTGGTGGTATTATTAAAAGGAGCAGTGACTGACTTACAATAAAACTGTTTAATTAAAATGCTCATATAACAAAGATCATTCACGAGATTTTCATCAGAATCAGAACCCACTTAAGTGAAGTGGTTTGTCAATAAACATATAAAATACATCATTTGTGAAAACATCAATAAGACATTGAGAGAGAAGTCTGTGAGTTTATGAGCTTCCCGTACGCTTACATTTTCACGAGTTTATACTGATAGGGAACATCTGTGAATTTTTGAAAATTATTTATCTGCTTTAACATTATGCTAACTGTAAACTGAGGCTTGAATTACAGTCAGATGAATAATGAATTGAAACTAGAAGGAGATACTGCTCACAGTATCATTACTTGAATATTTGTATTTCTCAGTGGAAGTTTTGTTTAGAGCCTGAATAATGGATTTCATGTGTTTGACATGCACATGTGCATTAACCTGTTGCTCACAGTGATATTTCGGTTTAATGTTTCAATCAAAGTTCCATCATGATTATCGGTAGATCGCTTCAGATTGTTTCGGGTTGTTTTCGTTTCATGCATTTCATCTGCAGACCTTTCTCATGTCATAAAGACGTAGAATATATTCATACATTTACTCATTCATTTTCAGATTTACGAAGCAGTCGAACGTTGTTATCAAATATCACCGTTCATGTCTTCTAATTCAATGGATTCTGAAAGGTTGGATAATGATTTTGTTCATAAATTTTCCTTTCAACAATAGGCAACCTTATCCAAATAATCTGTTCAATGCACTCTGGATTACAGTGATTTTATGTGGGTGAGTCTTTGATAACATATTTCTTACTCGATTTAATTTAAGGGCATACAATTTATAAGAGATAAGGGGAAAGCTAGAAAGTAAACGTTATACGAAATCGTATAAAAACGCTGAGTCTTGAATTAGTGGAGATTACATGAAACTGTGCTAACATCGTAATATTAATATTCAAACCTGCTTAAGTGACAGACAAGTTAATTGGATGATTATAAAAGATTCTGATAAAATTTACATTCCATAGATTTAAATAGACTTCACAGACGTATTCACTCAACCGTTTTTCTGATTTTACTTGATTGATCCGTATTGTCAAATTGTGGAAATATATTCAGTGAATTTGTCATTTTCCAACAAGATATCTGTAGGTGTACTTTGATTGGACATTAGTAACTAGTGTGATGTGTACAGTCTTTTCTCTGATGCAGACTGAAGTCTATCAGTCAGGTTTGCAGCTGGCAAGAAACCGACATCCAAGGCTATCTGCGGATCGTCGCAAACCACCTAATATCTATATGAGTAACAAATTTGACATCTGGAAGATTCTTATTCCATTCAGTGTATATGAAGAATATTGCATATTAGACATAATTGTGAATTTCACTACAAATGAAGCAATCACTAAGAAGTTACATGCTGGTGTCGAATTTCTCGCATTCCATTTTGTCTGCTCTTTTGTTATTTCGTGCATAGTTTTGAACATGACACAGCTTCACAGAGTATCTGATTATTTTCCATTGTCCAGTTGTCTCACTGACATTTTGGGAACTGTAATATATGGACTAAGGCACACTGACGGCGCCAACTAATCGATTGATCAAATGCCTAATAATAGAGAATTCCATCAGGATTAGTGGTCTTGAGACAAACTGATGTGTTGTTGATGCTAATTATCACACTCATATTATCTTCCGATCGTTTATTTCAGCTGCGTTGGTCTTGTCTTGCACATATACTCGATATTTATTCAGCGGTTTCGACCACTCTTCCCCATAAAGTGATCACAATAATATTTGTGGTAAGTTCTGAATTTACCAAAAAGTTCTCACCTCTCACGAAACATAAATTCACTTCAGCTGGTAGACAAAAATATTGCGCCACATGAAGTAGTGAAACCATGATCAGTGCAATCCGAACATTTTTACAGTTTCTATTACTATTGTCTGAAATTTCAATTTTTGTCGTATATAATTGACTTGGACGAAGAAGAAATGAGTGACGTTAGGAATCACTGCTGAAAAATGATCAGGCAAAAAGACTAAACTGACAATGGTGAAGGCAGTTCGTCTTCGGAGCTCGAAGTCAACACTGGCTTAAAAGGATAAAACTACATGGATTACACGTAAATAATATTGAGATGAAACCAGTAGACAAATCGTTTTTATTCCTTCAAGTTCCCCAGTGGAACATAGGGCTCCAAGCTAGTGGCTTTAAGTTTCTGTGGCAGTGTTTAATTTTACAGGATAAGGTTGCTAGCTTCATACCAAAGCTTTCCTCTTTATTATCATTATTTCATGCTTAGCGAGGTAAAGGAATGCGTCGTCGGAGGATCGAGCCCCATACCATGTGCATGGAAAGTGTGCGCCGAAAGCGCTTTGCCAGTGTAAAACTTTTACTCACAATAAGTTTATTCACTCTCGTGATTTCATTTGCTTCTAATCTCCCTTTCTAGATCATAATATGGAGTGTAGTCGTTGTTTTATACTGCCGTGAATTATGCTGGGTATACAGCTTGATTGTGTTGCTGTTAACATCTGTTATCGGAGTATCAACAATGCTTATCGGTTTCAAATCGAAACCTTTATCAGATGCTGGATATTTCGTCTTCTTCCTAATAAGTTTGATATTCATTATCATCGGAGTCACGTTCTATCTTTTTTATCAACTGTTCGGTGTAAGTGTTGCATCAGAAGTGCTCATTTTACTCTCAGTTCTCATTATTCTATGTAACACGGAGCTTCCAACTGTCGAAATATCTCAGAAGAGGATAAGTAGTGTGTGTCTGCTGGTCTCGTTACGAGATGTGACAAAATAGTACCGACTGGATAACAAGTGAATAGAAATCACACAAATCCGCTCCTCCAGTTTGTTGATGAACTCAATGTTCATCATGGTTCCAGTGTATGACAATTAGTTTGCAAATCTACTCTTCTCGCTCGTAGGTCAATGCATGAGAGAACGAACTATTTTTCATTTTACGTTTTCGTGATGGCATCACCTGTTGATATATTCTCATCAGCCTTAAACTACTGTAGAGTGGATGCGAGTTATTCGTCTATGGGAAGGTAACATCTATCATCAGAATGGCAATTAAATTCCACGTTTTGTTATAATCAGTGATAATGTGCACGAACTGGGTGTCTCCATTATAAGCGAGCTTGACGGAAATAGTTTCTCAACTACAATGTTGTCTCCTGATGAAATCACATCGATGACAGATAGGGCTTTTCCGATGGCTCGTTTGTTATGAAGAATCTCATGATGAATACAATCTTTAGGAAATTTCATTTATAACCGCTTTTTCTATCAAACACACCGTATACGACCTTTAAAACTGTTCATTCTATTCTTACAGCCTCCTTTCCATATATTATATGGCGTGTTTATTGCCATTGGAATAGCTTTTGTGAGTCCCAATAAAAATTGTTTTACAGTGGTTATGCTGAAACATTTCTATATGTTAGTAATATGTTTACGTCCATTGCTAGTTCTGATCATTGTCAGTTGAGGCGATTCTTTTGGTCAAATGTTTCCGCTATTCTGGGGGTCGAATACCGAAGGAAACTGGAAGGTCTCTCAGTGGTATTATGCTCAAGCTGCATAGCCATATATATATATATATATATATATATATATATATATCTAACTGCATTATACAGAAACACTGATCAGGCGGTAACTAATTTAAAACTAAGTGAATAAATTGACAGACATGATTAAAGGGAGGATTGATATTTATGAATATATCTATGCATATGCCGTAATTGAAAGTATTGAGTAGAGTTCAGTTAAAATTGAAGGAAGGTCATTGAAAGATCCTTGTCATAGGGAGTGCAGGTGTAATTATATTTACGGGGGAAAATATCAATTTTAAGTACCACATGTCAAATACTTCCAAAAATCAGTTCCACTCTCAGTTGTGTGACTGAACAAATTTCATCTGTATGCAAAGGTCACAACCTGGATTCATATAGCTTATGCACTCCGGAGAAAGTTTGATTGCTGCATCTTTAGTAAGATTCTCGTATACTAATTCAGGTGATTCTAGATTTCAGTTTGGACATTTAAATAATGTCTGGAATCGTTTATACGTTCGGCAATACAGTTGCGGTTGAGAGAGAGGCAGATATTTCTTTCTCTTTGAAACCGCGGGGGTAGATTTTCGATGATATTTTCGGACCGCAAACACTGTGAACATAACGTGTTCTACACGTCAAATAGTCAGCAAACCAAATTCATTGTAATTTGAGAGACTGATAAAACTTTCATAGCTATCCTGCATGTACTCTTAAGTAGATATTTTGTTCTGAGCAATCAATAAAGGATTGAACGGTATCGGCTGGTTCAGAGTCTGAAGCTGCAGTTTTCTGGTATCCAGTCGGAACTGAGATGCTGAATTGCAAAAACACATCATATCAGATGAGATCAGAACAAGTATTGAGAAATATTTCGTCTAATCAGGAGTTTCACAGAGTTGGGCAAAAAATCACTCACCAGGGAAATGTCTTCTACATGTGTAATATTCGCTATCCATCTTTTCATATGAATTGGATTTATCCAACCCAAACTTTTATCAAACTAACCTAAAATGTTTTTGCAAATACTCATATTTCCAGGGCATATTCTGTTCTACAGTGTGGTTGAAATATTCAGGTGATAAATCGAAAAGTTCAACTGCATTTACAATTTACATAATATCACTCGAGACGATGGGACTATTTCTAACAATTTTTGGCCTATTCTACTGTCAGCAGACACTCGATTCAAAATCGGGGGGGAAGAATATTCTAAGCCAGTTTTGTGCTAAGCGAATCAATCTTTCATGATAATTGAGTAAATAAACGTGTGGTTGTATGCATCGACTTTTCCCGAAAAGCCAGGAATTCCAAATATCAGTTATTTTGGTTCCACTTCCTTCTACAAACCCTTTCATAAATGACCACTGCATGAATGAATTTGCAATTGCAGTTTTATGGTAAAGGCGACTTGATGATGGTATCATATTTGTTGGAATTTTTCGAGAGCGTATTCTTACTTTACCAACCCGGATTCCGATTCCTCCACCAAAGTATATACCTAGCTCTGTTACTTCTAACAAACATTTATCCTACACACTTGTTAGATGCTACATGCATATTTGGTGGCTTTTTTGAGTTGAATGAGTAACGAAAGTGTGGAGGAACTCAAATTTTTTTTGGAAATTCGAATGACACATCATTCAGATTGGGGCTAGTCATTGATGTGGTGACAAAATATACATGTTCAACTACTTGAAATGACGTGATCACGTTGTTTAGTAGACTTCAATGCTTCGTTTTCGAATACCTTCAATATACTCCGAATTTATGGATTATCAAGAGTGCACAAGAAAGACATACCTCTTCGACGCATTCCTGATATAACCAATTCATTTTTTTTATCTCCCTGCACAATGGCCAGTAGACCTAATACGATCAGTCGGAAGGCGAAGTTCTTCATCCTCACTCCAAGATACTCGCGGCTTCGCCAACTCCGTCGAAGACGTCAGTGTTTCCATTCAAACCATGTTCTCACTAGACGTGGTATCACTGTTTACAAACGTCTCAATAAACAAAACCTTCATTCAGTTTTCTTGAGGCTTCGAGGTTCAGTAGATTGCCGTAACAGCTTTGATGAATGTAAAATAAGAAGAAAACGTTGTGGAACTACCTCGAGATGTCTCGGTCCTCGTGAATAACTGTCACGCTTTGTATTCTTAGCCTTATCTGGAGATTTCTGATCAGTGAAGATGGTACATAGTTCTCCCTCTTTCATGTGACGGAAATGTTTTTACAGCTAGGCAGATAGTGAGTGCTTCTCTCCTGAAGGCGCCGACTGATAATTATTCAAGTCCTTTTTTATAAAATTACTGATACCAATATTGCGCTGATAATCTTTGGTCAATCATATTATTTCATTTTCATATTTTGAGAACCTGAATAAACCGAAAAATCTTAATATGAATATTTTCTTAGTTGTAGTCAGGTTTTATGGTTGCTCACAAGCCACTTTATTTTTCCTTCATTTCATTGTCTACGAAGTTTTCATACCTGAATGTATGCTTGATTTCGAACTCATGAAAGCGCCATCGTACATTCGAAAGTAAGGCATTTGTCTGTTTAGAGCTTCGCACCCTCTAGTGGAATATCTTGTTTGAAAATGTTTTAGCCGACGGTCAGTTACGATGCTGTCGCTGGCAAGCACCGAGGGAAACAGTCATCCACTTCCCATATCTGACACGAAAGCAGAAGCAAGGCTATTTGTTCAAAAACGTGCTACCGTTTGAGTGGTCCCTTAAAAACGGACTGAATTAACTCACTCCAGAACTTGACAGATGCTTCAAACAGCAAACGCATCTACAGAAACATGTAGAACCAGAGACGATAGACATGATTTTCTTTAATTAAAACAGTTAGTCCCTTTGATAAATTTGAACAAGGCATTAAGAAGACAAATTTCGCGAGATGATATCATTTCGTAGTTTCTTTACAACCGCTTTACAACTAACATGGTTAACAATGATAAAATAAAGTTCATGAAAATTACTCAGTTAAATAAAAACAAAAGTACATACTAATGACCAATCATATTAAGATAGGTCATGCAGTCCAGGGTAGGCGAAGATTGAAGTCTATTGATTTTTGTACACACAGTTTAGGCTGTATGTGATTAATCCAAAGTGCTTCCATCACCTTCAATAACCTTGAATTAGAGTTATGTGAAATAATTGTGAAACAGTCATTAATATTTATTTTGTGACCAGACATTAATAAGTGTTTTGCAATGGATGATGCTGGATTTCTATTAAGATTAATCGCGTTAGGATTTTCGATATGATTTACTAGCCATTTTGGAATATGTTCTTTTCGACGACATTGGAACATTCTGTTAGTTCTACCTATATAGGTGTCACCGCAGCTGCAGGTGAACTTGTAGATACAGTTTGAAGTAGAGTCCACAGAATTTCGTCCTTTAATCGTAGGAACAGGGATCGAAAATGTTCGGCAAGTGAGAAAAAGAGATGCGGCGTAGAATGTGCGTTTGATGGCTGATCGAAGTCTTTGAGTTGTCAACTGCATAATCTGGTCGCCCTTGAATGGTAGATTAATAAAGATGGCTTTCTTTGGTACAGAAGCTGTCTTTTCGAGATGTGGTTTTTCTTTGCTGTGACAAGTGATAAAGCTCTCCGGATAACCATTAGCTAATAAAACTGAATGTACATGTCGAAGCTCATCCATCAGTGTGTCACTCGTGCATATTTTTCGGGCCCTTGAGAACAAACATTTCACTAGGGAACGTTTATACTGGATAGGAACAAAACTGGTAAAATGAAGATATTGTCCAGTCCATGTTTGTTTACGAAAAATAGAGCGCTGAATCGTTCCATCATTTCTCCTAATCATAGTAATATCCAGGAAACCGAGTTTGTTATTCGATTCTAGTTCGGAAGTCACTCGAATATTTGGATGAATATGATTAAATAGAGTAATGAAGTTTTCAATAGATTTACTATTATTACCAATAATAAGAGTATCATCTACATAACGTTTATACAGCATAAATCCTCCAAGCATACCTTGCATTTGTTTCTCTAATTTCGACATAAATATATCTGCTAACAGGGGCCCCAGAGGGCTCCCCATCGCAACACCATCGATTTGTTTATATGCCTTTTCTTGGAATGTGAATCTAATATTTTCTGTACACATTAAGATTATGTCTTTGATGTAAGTGACGGGAATGGGTAAGTTTATGCCATTGCTTGTGATGTAATCGCAAATAAAATCAACAGTTTCATGAAGGGGAACATTGGTGAATAAAGATTCTATGTCAATTGAACACATAACCTTTTCCTTAATGTTCAAGGTGTCCAGCATTTCTGTAAGATCAAATGAACTTTTTACAGAATGATTTGATAATGAGTCTCTTACAGGCGTAAGGACCTCGAATTAAATTCACAGTATTTTGCAATGATATGGTAAAAAAGACCATAAGTTCTACCGAAGAAAAATTAACAAAATCTTTGAAAGACTCCAATCATAGTTTGAAATTTCCTACGGTTAAAGGACGAAATTCTGTGGACTCTACTTCAAACTGTATCTACAAGTTCACCTGCAGCTGCGGTGACACCTATATAGGTAGAACTAACAGAATGTTCCAATGTCGTCGAAAAGAACATATTCCAAAATGGCTAGTAAATCATATCGAAAATCCTAACGCGATTAATCTTAATAGAAATCCAGCATCATCCATTGCAAAACACTTATTAATGTCTGGTCACAAAATAAATATTAATGACTGTTTCACAATTATTTCACATAACTCTAATTCGAGGTTATTGAAGGTGATGGAAGCACTTTGGATTAATCACATGCAGCCTAAACTGTGTGTACAAAAATCAATAGACTTCAATCTTCGCCTATCCTGGACTGCATGACCTATCTTAATATGATTGGTCATTAGTATGTACTTTTGTTTTGATTTAACTGAGTAATTTTCATGAACTTTATCTTATCATTGTTAAACATGTTAGTTGTAAAGCGGTTGTAAAGAAACTACGAAATGATATCATCTCGCGAAATTTGTCTTCTTAATGCCTTGTTCAAATGATTTTATTTGCAATACGCTATTCCAATGGGAATTGATCATTTCCGATAATACGTTTATAACTACTGTAGTTAACTTTATTTAGCGTCACGAGTCACTGGCTGACTCCACATTCTTAATCACTAATCGTGTTCTTTGTGATGTTTGTGTGTGCCAGCCCAACTGCGAGCAAAAAGCACACGAATTTAATTCTTTATACACTCTGTGCATTGAATATTTTTGTGTACAAGCACAGGGATACACAGAAGGCGAATCAGCTTTCATTAGATGAATATTAACAAAATTTAGGTAAACTCCATCTCAGTGTCGAGAGAATGTAGATGCAGTCTCCTGCACACGATCAAGAAGTGGAGCAGATATGTACTCAGGCTGCTGTCTAGTGCGAGGAATCCTGGGGGAGAAGATGAGGGCCTTCAAATGAACAAGTATCCAAATTATTGACGAAGAAAGTGGAAATTGATCGAACACACGCTGGAATGATCTCAGAGTGATATCGAATCCCATGTCCTCGAGTGCAACCTGAATGAGAAGTGACCAGTCCAGCGTTCAAGGAGGAAATGGGGACGTCCGTGTGAGGAGGTATTGAGAGCTTATTGGCAGTTGTCAACCCAGATAAAGAGGACTACATAGAGCACACTGAGGGAGAGTGACACCAATTAAAGCTTATGATCCACTCGGAAGTTAATGGAATAATACTAAATATACTGTGGAACTAAATACTTTCAAAATCAAAACTTTTGATATTCGCAAACAAAAATATATCAAAGCGACGTAATAAAAAAGTAAACTCACAGACTTTTGTTCCACGGCTATGCTGATGCCTTTACAAATGGTGTTTATGAAAAAAATCGTAGCAAACTGGCCACTACTGAAGCCTTATGATCCACTCATAACTTAACGGAATAATATCAACAATACTGTGAAACTAGATACTTTGAAAATCGAAACCTTTCATATTTGCAAACAATAATACATCAAAGCGACTTTCATGGAATAAAAACTGATTAACTCACAGACTTTTGCTCCATAGTTATTTTGATGCCTTTACAAATGGTGTATTTAAAAAATTCTTAGCGAACAGGCTACCTCAGTAAACTATTAGCATTAGGCACTGAAGAATGAATGACCTTTGTTAATTTGCGTCTTTCTCGAAAAAAGTTACTGCTAACCAATCACTGTTCATCTATCTATGATTTTCATTTTCGATAAAGAAAGGTTC